AGCAGTTTAGAAGAAGGAAAACGTTGAATTCAAAAGCAGCTACAAAGGAAGGAATATGCTTCATTGGGTTATCTTGCCCTAGACACACCACTGCTGTTACAGCTACGATACATCTGGTGTCCCTAGGACTCTAATGAGTTAGCAACTTGTGATATTTTTCTCATCATACTGTAAGTTTAGCTATGTGCGAAATAATTTTTTTAAATTATTTCACGCCCAAATAAGGTAATAAAGACATTATGATGCAAGGGGTTCTTCTATATACATGTCCCTTTAAGACATTGGTGATTATGGCTCTCCACTATTCCTTGTCTTTTGTAGCCCTTATGAATTTTGTCTTTTTGTTGTCTCTCTTAAAAATTGTTCTGCCATCCATTTACTGAAGCTCATTTTTCTTCTATGTTCCATGTCCCTTCAGGGCATTAGGGATCATGGCTCTCCACAATTTCCTATTCTCTGTAGCTCTTAATAAATTTTGTTTTCTTATTATCTCTCGTAAACATTGTTCCATCATCCATTTACTCAAGCTCATTTTCCTTCTTCTATATGTGCCATACCATATATCTATTCTATTGTAATGGACTCTCCCACAGATAATAAGTAGTAGTAGCAGTCGCCAGTGGGGCTCAGTGGTGTTGAGCGAGTCAGACAAATTCGGACATTGGAGTATCAACCATCACAACTAGATTGCTGCGTCATTAACTCTTATTTCAAGTTCCTAACGTTTTGTACGTCGAACCTAACTTAGGACAACTTATTGAAATACAAGCCTCTACTGTGAAAACTACTCTACAACAATATGATACCTTCAGGATGCTGGCGATCATGGCTCTCCACAATTTCCTGTCTTTTGTAGCTCTTAACAAATTTTGTCTTTTTGTTATCTCTCTTAAAACTTATTCTGCCATCCATTTACTGAAGCTTGTTTTTCTTCTATGTTCCATGTCCCTTCAGGACATTGGCGATCATGGCTCTCCACAATTTCCTGTTCTTTGTAGCTCTTATGAATTTTGTCTTCTAAACCTTTCTCTGCCATCCATTTTCTCAAGCTCGCTTGATAGATTATACATTGCTTTCATCTGTCTCTCTTACCTTAAATCTATCCTGTGAGTATTAAATTTTCTATCCCTCTTTCCTCATTTCCCCAGAAATTTCAACTGTCTTTTCCTAACATTAAGTATAAGTGTACTTTTCATTACCATTGTCTCTAGAACTTCATCACTGTTCACATGTTCAGTCCATGGTATTCTCAGCATATTTCTGTAGAACCACATTTCTGTTGCTTTAAGTCTCTTCTACATCAGCACAAGGGGTTACTGACAGTAAAAGAAAATAAGATGTTAGTGATTGAATCATTTTCTATGGCTTATCAACCTTTTGCAAGTTATTTAAAGCCATAAAATATTTTTAGATTGTAAGAATTTTTTTTCAAGACAATAACAGTTTAGTGAAACAAGTTTTACTAATTAACCCATAACTGGGACGAGAATAGGTGGATTCATACCTTTCTCAAAGGTGTTTGCGCATCAGAGAATATAACAAACCCAAAAGAAATTAGAACTAGAATCTCTGATTTAAAATTCCAAGCCATTATCCATTACACCACCTGCACATCCAAGCTTACAGTACCCGGTATTCCCAAGCAGTCACCCATCTAGATATAAACCAGGCTTGATGTTGCTTAACTTTGTTGATCTTATGGGTACCATTGTTTCAATGTGACATGGCCATAAGCTTTAAGATGTTAGTAAAAAGAACGGACAATAAAAGAATTGGATTCAGGAACACAGAAGATGACTATTGGTGTTACTGTTGCAGCATGCTAGTATGTTTAGGTAAATATTAGTAACCGTTATGTTGCGAGAATCAAGACTTTGAATAGTAAATATTTACAGGCTCCTGGAAAATTTATTCCACAAAAAATCTTGGTAGACTCAAAGCAAGTCTATTTTATCTCGTGTTTTTAAGATAACAAAGAAAAATAAATAAGGAAGATAAACTTGTAGGTAAGTAATGAAATAGAAGGTTTACTACATGAAGGTACACTTAGTAATGGACCTAATGCTAACTCCACTTATTTATATCAACGGATGATTCCATTAATTTAAGTCCTTTATGACAGAGTCTAAGTAAAAAAAAAAAAAAAGAGTAACACAAACAATAAATATTTACAGACCTGGAAAATTTATCCCACAAAAAATATTGGCAGACTCAATATGAGTTCAAGTAAAAAAATGATTAACACAAAACAATAAATATAAAACAAATAACAATGCATTTATTTGCAAAAGGAATTACATGTGATGAAAGAAAAAAAAAACATGAAACTTGTTATAATAAGAATATGTGTGTGCATGCATAACAAATATGTATGAGAGAGTACAAATGTCAAGAGAGAAAACCATGAAAATGAACATACTTCCGGCGGGGTGGGGCACTTTTTTTTCTATGTGGTTACATCTTCCAGCCAGTATTGAAAAAGTGTAAAAGAGAAAAAGTGAGAATATCATTTTCTGTTTATAGGCTTAAGGAGCACCCCCTTGTGACAGTTTTTTTAGGAAAGTCAAGTGAGATAACCCATGTTAACATTTTGAAAGATGTTTAATAATTTAGGGTTTGAATTCACTCAAATAACTTTTGCTTTATCTTCTTTTCTTTCTTTTTGAGTCGCAAATGTTTAAAGTGGTTCTTCTTTGTGTTTATTGATAGCTGCATTTCCACAAGTGACCAATGAGAAACTGCAGAGAAGGAGACACAAGTCAATCTGCCCAAACGTGGACATTTTGAAATATTTAATTGAACAAAATAATTTTTCTTTTAATATTTAATTCCCACATAAAAAAAATTCATTTCTGTTGATCATTTTAATTTTTTTTAATATCTGCAGTACTATCTTGCAGAAAGAAATGAAATATAAAATATATTTTTATTTATTAAATTAAAGAAAGTATATTTTTACATTTTACATTATTCAGAACACTATGAGTTATTCATGCAAATATGTTTTTAAGTAAAAAGATTGAATAAAAAATAGAAAATTGAATAAAAGAAAGAAGAAAAGAAGAAAAATAATTGAAAGAAAGAAAATTGAAAGGAAGAAAAGAAAAATAATTGAAAGAAAGAAAATTGAAAGGAAGAAAGAAAGAAAATTGAAAGGAAGAAAGAGAAATAATTGAAAGAAAGAAAATTGAAAGGAAGAAAATTGAAAGGAAGAAAGAATAAAGAAAGAAAAATAATTGAAAGGAAGAAAGAATAAAGAAAGAAAAATAATTGAAAGAAAGGAAGAAAAGAAAAATAATTGAAAGGAAGAAAAGATAAATAATTGAAAGAAAGAAAATTGAAAGGAAGAAAAGATAAATAATTGAAAGAAAGAAAATTGAAAGGAAGAAAAGAAAAATAATTGAAAGAAAGAAAATTGAAAGGAAGAAAAGAAAAATAATTCAATAAAAGAAAGAAAAATAATTGAATGAAAGAAAGAAGAAAGAAAATTGAAAGGAAAATAATTGTAAGAAGAAAGAAAAATCATTGAAAGAAGAAAAAGAAAAATCATTGAAAGAAAGAAGAAAAAATACTCATTGAAAGAAAAATCATAGGAAGAAAGAAAAAGAAGAAACACTTTCATATTTTTTTACATAAAGCAAAAAATTTACTGCAAAATCAAATATTGAAAAAAGGAAATAATTTGATGGGTGCAACTATTTTCTTTTTAATTTTCTGGACTATTGAAATTGTAAACTTTTTTTCACTGGTGTTATAACATGTATCAAATTATTTAGATATATTTTTGTTTGTTTTTTGTTTTATGTAAAATTATTTACTTCATGTCACTGAATAATTATCTCCCTTTCTCACAGCCAAATTCATTTTAAAGTTTGCTTTATCTTCATCAAAAAACACAAAACAATTTTTTTCATTTAAAATATTGTGATTTCATTTGAAAAAAAAAAGGTAACTATATTTATTTACAGATTGGTTAAATCTAAAATCTGTATTAAGTTTAGGTGCTTTTCTTCCAATCCATTTTTTAAAAATATATGCTAGTTATCTTTGTTTCTAGAAAAGAATCAAGTTTTATTCAAATGTATTGAAAGCCATCAGCAATATTGAAAATTGTTAATTGGAGATAAGACGTTGGAAGATACAATGAATGCATTTATAAAAGGAATCAATGAAGAACAATAGATAATTTGCTGCTTTTAAAGAATAAACATACTTGTCTTTGATTTAACTGAATTTGAATTTCAACAAGGATTAAAATCATTTGTTAGAAATGTCTCAGTATTTTGATCAAAAATCTTTCATCTTCCTTCCATTTTTTATTCTAATTTTACTGATTGCCATTTTGTTATGTGATCTTTGTGGTCTCCTCTACAGGATTACTTTTCAAACTTGATTCTTTTTGTTTAGGAATTCATATTCTTTCTTGTTTTTTGAGTTTTTTTTTTGTTTTTTTTCAAAATTTCTCCATTGATCAATTTTCATTATGACATCTTCCATTGTTTTCCTTCTTTTTAGTAAAACATTTTTATATAAACCCTGTACTTTCTCTTGTTGTTCACACAATCTTTTACTGAAATAATATTTCTAAAAATATGCAAAAGCATAATGCTTATATAAATAAAATTATTAACACACTGACCTACCAGAAGTCAATTACAAAATCTGACTTCAAACACCAACTTTATAATAACCAACTGAGGAAGTAAGTTGATTTTTAGCTTCAACTGAAGTCTTAACTTTGTTTTCACACTAAAAATATCACTGCAGAAAACTCATTGTTGACGCCTGCAGATAAAAAATGTGTCAGAAAGTGCCAAGCACAAGATAACTCGTAGTTGGCATCATAATAAAAAAAATGTCTTTGAAAATATCTCTTCTGCTTTATTCAAGGTGGTATCAGAAAGTTTTCAGGCTAGGATCTCTTGATAGCCTCCATAACTGATTTCACTCATGTGAAAGAGCTGGTAGATTGTTATTGAAAATGTCTCCAATTAGTGTCT